GAAATCACATCTGAAATAAGCATCGGAAAGAAGCAACCAATTCGATAATGAATTTATTTCGAAGGTAATTCTACCACCATCATTCAACTGGGATTTAGAACCAACAGTGGGTGAGATGATAATATAATCCTCTTTTTTCTTGTTAAATGAATAACGAATCGGATCGTATAATCTAAAGATTGGATCTAGTATTTTATTTGCCATTTTTAAGGTTTAAAATTTGCTTTTTTTGATGGAATGTAGGAAATTGATTGAAGGTGTTTTTGGTGTATGAAATGTAGGGAATTTATGAAATATAGGGAATATAGGTGTAAGAATTTATGAAATGTAGAGAATTTAGGTCTTTATGTTATGGGAGCTTTCAATTTAGGTCGCATTTTCCCCATGAAATGAAATGGAATGGGGAAATCCCCTTTTATGCGACCTAATTGAAAGCTCTAGTACTACTAGTGAGCAAGCTTGTTGATATCATCGTTAATTTCTAATTCTTTAGTTTCTACATTTTCTGTACCATTGATAAACTGAAGAACTTTAAGAGCGTTAAATTGACCATTAGATGAATATGAGTGTTGTCTGAAGAATATTGAATCAACTTTTACCTGCAAAGGAAAAATAATTTCAATTAGAAGTTTTCCTTTGAAACCAAAAAATGCTGAATGATTAAATATAGTATCAAACTTGTTATAGGATTTATCTAAATTTAGAACAAAAAATTCTCTTATATTTGCTGTAAATCCATATATTTTATATTCATACTCTCTTGATTTATCAATATTAGTAGTAATAGAAACATCTTTTTCTAAATGGAAGATTGAAATAATATGATTTATTTTCATCCTTGAGATTCTTTTCTAATGCGGCTACATTTTTTTCCTGTTTTAAAACGTCGTTATTAATAGTGGTTATCTGTTGTTGAATAACACTATCATCAATATTTTGTATTTGTTGTTGAATATAGGTTTTAATTTCGCTATCATCAATATTTTGTATTTGTTGTTGAATATATGTTTTGATTTCGCTATCATCAATATTTTGTATTTGTTGTTAAATATAGGTTTTGATTTCGCTATCATCAATATTTTCTATGTGTTGTTTAATATAATTTTTAATTTCACTATCATCAATATTTTCTATGTGTTGTTTAATATAATTTTTAATTTCACTATCATCAATATTTTCTATGTGTTGTTTAATATAATTTTTAATTTCACTATCATCAATATTTTCTATCTGTTGTTTAATATTTGTTAGTTCTTTTTGTAATTCAGTTTTAAATTTTTTAATTCCCGT